AAAAAAAAAAAAAGTAAATCGAGCGATGGTCAGTCTACTAATAATCACACCATTATATTTCATAGATGTGAGTGGAGAGAAAAATGCACTTACTTTCAAGTAAAATTCCGACAAGACTCAAACATATTCCAAGACATTAATCTCTTGCTTTTACATCAAATCAACTTTAGTTATTTAATTTTAAATATTATTATAATATAAACTTAAAATATCACTAACAACTAATTATACCACATTTTTTAAAATTAACTATAGTTAACAAAAAAATACAAACAACTATAGTTAACAAAAAAATACAAACGAAATTAAATCCATATCCAGTCACACCCCCAAAATCTTGAACTTTAAGTAGCGGGCAACCACACCCCCAACACCTTGAACTTTGGTAGTTGTAGTAAACTTGGTTAAAAAAAAATAAAAATTGCCCGTCGGCTAGCAAAACTGGCCGACTATCTCGTGAAAGGATTTGAACAGATCACTTGTAGCGATTTCTTTCGGCATTCGAAGATGATGCATTTCCCTCTTCTCTTAAATTAATGCATTTTCAAAAGAAAATCACCATTGACAAGTCCGTTTATGATGGTACTGATGGGTGTTCGTGTGCTTATATTGAGATAGATTTTGAATATGTACAAAAACTTCATGTGTAAATATGAACTTGTTGACAAATCCATTGTAAAGAAGTCAAATTACTAAATGGGCTTTTTCAAAAGTACTCGAATAGCCGGTTCATGGAAATAAACGAACTCTAAAACTCAATACTGTTATGGTAAAAAAACCCACACAAATGCTGGTGCTATAACACCAAGTGCAAATATTAGTAGTAAATATTAGCAGTCATTACACAGTACTACATAATTAATCAGAGAATGAAATCATTTCTGAAGCACGAAAACATTTTCACTGTACGCAACACGCACAAGTTTATTCTCGAGGAAAATACAGTCTGTAAAGGCCTAAACCAAAATTTACCTATTGGGAGCAGATGATAAAATAATGTATGAGAAAGGTTTTGTGAACATTCACTAGAAAACTGACACAAAAGCCACAATACGGAGTTTCAGTTTTAATCATAACCTTTCGCCTCAGGCTTAGTTTTAACTAGAGTGTTTATCAAGGCGCAACTTGGGAGAAACAGTTACAACTCACGAGCCTCAAACACATTTGACATTATCAAAAGCTCTATCGCGACCAAAAAGTAAGAGACCGACCAGCATTCAGAAGAATGGCAATAAGGTAACATTTTTTGAAATAGTCCGAAAGCAAGAAATGAGGCGCACCAAGTCCCAAAGAGAAATTATTTGCAAATGGGTGCCTTTTCAAGAGAAATGCCTTCCTTCTAAAAGCAGCCTTTCTCGATTGAGTATCTTTAAGCGTAACGACAATTAACCGACAATATAATCAATTCATAGTGCCACCGAGTGATGAGAAAAACCATACGAAATGATCAACCTTTTTAAGCCAGAGGCTCGTCAAGTCAACAAAGACACTAAAAAGACATCAATAGTACACAACCATCATCATCAATTGCCCTACAATTGCCATAGATGAACAAAATCGTGGCCTAAAGAAGTTCGCAAGAACCAGAAAGCAATTGCATGCAGATAACCAAAAATCGATAAGCCAAGTCATTTGTGTAAATGTATAAACCATCAGAAGTGAACTAAATGCACCAGTCACATCTAAAATCCACCACTTTCTCGATTCATTATCTTTATCCGTAAAGACAATTAATAATGCCACCGAGTTAAGGTGAGAGAAGTCATATGAAATGATCAATCTTTTTAAGCTTGAGGCTCATCAAGTCAACAAAGAAACTTTAAAAGCATCAATACTAAACAACCATCATCATCAATTGACTTGCAATTGCCATAGTTCACCAAAACTGAGACCTAGAAGAAGTTCCGAATAACAAACAAGCATTTTCATGCAAACAACCAAAATTCATAAGCTAAATCATGTGTAAAAGCATATATGCACCATCAAGAGAAGTGCACTAAAAGCACCAATCACATCCAAAATCCACCACTTTTATTCCATGAAAACACAGTACCATTTCATGCTAAACAACAAACACGGAGACAAGCTCAACAGAGCCAAAACAACCCATTTCAATTCTAAGGAAGAAAAAAGAAAAGCTCAACGAAGAGAAAAACAGTAGAGAGCAAAGAAACTCATACACTCTCAAATGGCCTTGAGCATATCCTTCAGATTCAGGGTCTTCACGACCCCATCCTCGACGTACATGGCGTACCTCCTCGATCGAACCCCCAAACCCACCGGCTTATCGCTCAAATCAAGCTCGCAACCAATGGCGCGGATGAAATCTCCATTGCCGTCGCTCAGCAGCATGACCTTGTCCCCGATCTTCAGATCCTTCTTCCACGCCTTCATCACGGAGGCGTCGTTCACGGAAACGCAGGCGATGTCGATCCCCTTCGCCTTGAGCTTGGCGACCTTCTTCACGAACCCCGGGAGATTCTTCTTCGATCTAGTAGGGGTGAAGGCGCCGGGGACGGCGAAGATGAGGGCCCGTTTGCCGGCTGTGAGATCGGAGACGGAGATGGTCTGGAGCTCGCCGGAGGCGTCGAAGTAGGAGAGGGTGGAGTCGGGGAGCTTTTCACCGACGGATATTGCGGCCGAGATTTTGGTGGCGGTGGAGTATTTGAGCGGCGGCGTGAGGCGGCGTGGGCAGAGAGGGGTTAGGGATGAGTTGGGGGAGGAGGAGAAGGAGAGGGGTTTTTTGAGAGGGGAAAGGAGAGAAGAAAGCTGCCGGAGTTTGGGCGATGAGGAGGCGACGGACCTCGTGGCGGGGAACGTGGTTGCTGTTGCGGTGGCGGCTGCCATTGATGTGTGTGTAAGTGTGTGTGGAAATGCAGAAGCAAATTGTGTGTGTGTGTGTGTATGTGTAGCTGTGGGATTGAGAGTGGTTGGGCGGATTTAACTATGAGCCATGTTTGTTTGAATTAATTTCATTTCTTTAATTCACAATTTTATTTTATTTTATACTTCATATGTGTTTTTGAATTTTTTTGATTGGTATTAACTATTAGCAGTTATATTTATTGTAATTCGATTATCCAATAAAATGGATTAACTGATATCGTCAATCAAACTGATTATATCCCAATAGTTCCTATATTCCTTCCAATAATCTCATTGATATTGAGAGCCAAACTCCACCTCGCTCAGCTCGATAAAGGCTCGATCCGAGATCAAACTCGACTCATTTACACCCTACTTGCTAATATAAAGCCAACCTCGCTCAGCTCGATAAAGGCTTGATCCGAGATCAACCTCGACTCACTTACACCCTACGTGTTAAACATGAAGCTAACCCAAGCTCCAAATCGAGCCCTCAACGAGTTTTAATCAGCTTGAGTTTCCTTACAGGCTTATAATCGATTTCGACTTCGGCTCGTTTATCTATATTAACGAGCCAAATCGAGCTTTGACAAGCCAAAAGATAGAAAATTAACATTAAATCAAACGAGCCAAGCCGAACTCGCTCGTGTAATTTAGCAGCTCTATTTACAAGTCATGAACAGTGATTGTAATAACAAAATGTGCTTCAATGTCAGTGGAAAGCCAAACTAAGCTGATTACCTGAGTACAGACTTGAAATATAAATTCAGAGTAAGAGACATCAAAAAAACATGAAGTCATCACCAAAACACCTAAACAAACACCTAATTAAGGTAAAAACAGGGCGTAAAATTACCTACGGTAAGATAAATCCAATCCGGTTATACCTAATGAAAAACCGTAAACATCTGAAAACCCTAATATAAAATCAGCTTCAATGCTCGTCAAATGGAATGGAGATGTTAATATCGGGAGATGGCCTATGTGCAGAGCCCGGCCCAGGCCCATTCCACTTGGCAGTATCTTTTGGTGCAGGGTTTTGCAAGCCCTTGTGGCTGAAGGAGCTGTCGGTTTGGCCCGAGCCCGGATTTTGTGGGCCCACAAGAAACTGTGATTTTTGGGCCGGGTAACTGATGATCTCAGGCGGGGCCTGTGATATGGGCCTTGCGGCTGTGATTGTAGCCGGAGCACTTGTCGGGACACTTTTGGGCTCTGTTTGGTACTTCCTTTTCGGGACCTTGAACCCGTTGGGCACGAAAGTTCCAACCACAATCTGCCAAGTCGAGCCGGAAAAAAAAAAAGAAAAAAAAAGAAGTAAGCAAATATAGCTAAGGCCGTTTAATTTCATTCGATTATTAGTTGGAGTCGAGCTTTGATTAAATCCACATAATTTATAATTCAATTTACCAATGCTCAAACCATGTTCTGCCAATCGAGATATGAACTTATAAGTTAGAACAACGTACACGCACAAGAGCACGAGCCTAATACCAAAAAAGATCGAAAATTGACATTACAGTTAATATTTTTGACTTTACAACTACTCATATATGTTCCTATCATACAAACTGCACAAAATCTTACGGAGTACATGTCAACCGAAAACAAGCCTTGAATGGGTGTTTGTAATCAAGATCAATTCGAGGGGTTATATACAATCGAAAAAAGAGTGCAAATGATAATAGAATTTTCTGTTGTGACCAAAATACAACATCCAATTTTGAAGCCTAACGCATATAACTAAGAGAACACACTCTCTAAAAACCACATTCACCCCATAAACGTACATGTTAGCATACAAATGGAAAAATTAGGTTACATATAAAAATTAAATCCAAGATGTAACAAAATAACAAACATATCAATTGAGGACATTTTTTCGCCTCCATGCTTTGCAACTCCATTCCTTAACTCACACTGCAACCAAAAACAAAATAAATCAATCTACAACCATTGGTAGGGAAGAGTCACCATTTTTTTTTGCTTAATTTGATCTATGTTTTCTATATTATTTATCTTTACTCTTTTAATTTTTAACTTTTTTATATTATTTTCATCTTTTTTCTTGGTTGAAGAAAGGTGTAACTAAAAAATCTATGCTTCATACATTTAGGTTGAGGGTTTATTAGTACTCTAAATTATTACTGTCTTATACCTCATATACATTCAACAAATATGCTAATATGCATAAACCGAAAAAAAAAAAAANNAAAAAAAAAAAAAAAAAAAAAAACATATTGATTAAACCAATTATAATCCAATTAAACAACAAACGCAACTTCAATCTATAAAAAAAGGCATTTTTCGCGACCAGAGACTATAATTCTTTACAAGAAAAACATAAATAATGCGAACGTATCCAATATAATTCTACACAAAAAAAAATAAAATATTGATTTTCCCACCCATACCTACAGAGTTTCCTTGGCTATCCTCGCCCTCACCTTCGCTTTTCCTTTTCTTCCCTTCTTGTTCCAACGGCTTCTTGGTACGTAACCAACCCTAATAATCTCCTCACCACCTCACCATCCCGATTATGGTCACACGCACGTCCTGCTCTCTATTGAATTCGATTGTTATATTGGAATTCTTGAGTCTCGAGACCTCGAACTCGTCAGGCTCGTCAATATGATTACAAGCACATGTGGACAGGAAAGACGAATTCCGTGCCAGCGTGAAAATCCAATCGGGTAATCTCCTTAACGATCTTACACTTTGTTGTGCGACCCACTGCATAATCGGTATAAAATGCATTGCTTCCGACAACAACATGACACTCTGGCAGAAACTCACAATCACGTCCTTCTTGAGATCCCTATTGTCATCCAATTTATGTAGAGACACCGCTAATAACCATCAAGCATGTACTCCAATGTTTCCTCGCCCACAAATGGCTTTTCGGTTAACAGGCTCGAGTACTCGCATCCTATATGATCTATACTTCGGTCATTTTTTAGCGGGGCTGTCACTTCCCCGCCCTCCCGCAGCTGCATACAAGCGTAATCTTCCGTTACGATTCTTCCTCTTTTTTGAAAGGCATCTCGATTCGTTCTTTTGACGGCCATGAAATAGAGGTCTTTGTGCCGTACCGCAAGCCGAGCCTCTCTTCCATTTTTATGACCAAAACAAAGAACGGTTGGTTCCCAGCACCATTCGGCATACGAATATTTGGAACATCCGACAGTATCGATAAACTTGCGCGAAGTTGCTCGATCACCTCTTGGTATCCTGTAAAGTAAGAGTGAAAAACATGTTCAGGGCTGAATGCAGGATCATTCATAAATGTTATGGCAGCCATATGTTATTTTTTTTTGTGGAGAAGTGAATAGGGAAAGTGTAAAAGAAAAAAACTGTGCACGGAAAGGAACTCGGAAGAAATAAATTTAAGGATGAAGAAGAGAAATGAAGTGGAAAGTAAATTAGTAAAGTGATGTCGTATTATGTGACATAAATAATGAATTTATGAGTCTGACATTAATTAAGAGTGTACAGTAAAGAATGATGACAGAGAAATTGGGAAAGAGTATGAAAGTAGGGATTGGGAAGAGAAGTGAAAAAATGAGGCAAAGGTTGTAGATGTGCAGAGAAATTAAATCCCTTTCTTTTTCTTTTTCTTTGTTTGGTATTTTGTATTGTGTTTTTTCTTTTTTTTAACGTCCCTCTTTTTGGGTATTGATATTTTCTTAAAATAGAGAACATATCAGAGATTTGTTCAGACTTTTTTTACAATTCCTACTTTCATACTCTTTCTCGATCTCTGATATGTTCTCTATTTAAAAAAAATATCAATGGCCAAAAAAGAAGGACGTTAAAAAAAAACACAATACGAAATACCAAACAGAGAAAAAGAAAAAGAAGGATGCATCTACATTGGTACAGCCTATGCCTTTTTTTATCACTTCTCTTCCCAATTCCTACTTTCATACTTTTTCCCAATTCCTCTGTCATCATTCTTTACTACACACTCTTGAATTTATGTCAGACTCATATATTCATTATTTATGTCACATAATACGACATCACTTTACTAATTTACCTCACACTTCTTTTCTCTTCTTCATCCTTAAATTTTCTTTCTTCCGAGTTCCTTTCCGTTCACAGTTTTTTTCTTTTACACTTTCTCCATTCACTTCTCAAAAAAAAAAAAAAAACTACATGGCTGCCATAACATTTATGAATGATCCTGCATTCAGCCTTGAACATGTTTTTCACTCTTAACCTACAGGATACCAAGAGGTGATCGAGCAACTTCGCACAAGTTTATCGATACCGTCGGATTGTTCCAAACATTCGTATGTCGAACGGTGCTGAGAACCGACCTTTCTTTGTTTTGGTCCTACAAGGACGAAATGGAAGAGATGCTCGGCTTGCGTTACGGCACAAAGGCCTCTACGTCATGACCATCAAAAAAAGGAATCGAGAAGCCTTTCAAAAAAAGAGGAAAAATCGTAGCAAAAGATTACGCTTGGATGCAGCTGCGGGAGGGCGGGGAAATGACAGCCCCGCTAAAAAATGACCGAAGTATAGATCATATCGGATGCGCGTACTCGAGCCTGTTAACCGAAAAGCCATTTGTGGGCGAGGAAACGTTGGATGACATGCTTGACGCATTATTAGTTGTGCCTCTACAGAAATTGGATGACAACAGGGATCTCAAAAAGGACGTGATCTGCAGAAATTGGATGACAATAGGGATCTCAAGAAGGACGTGATCGTGAGTTTCTGCCAGAGTGTCGTGTTGTTGTCAGAAGCAATGTGTTTTATACCAGTTATGCAGTGGGTTATGCAGTGGGTTATGCAGTGGGTGATCGTCAAGGTGAATACCAGATTGGATTTTCACGCTCGCGCGGAATTGGTCTTTCTTGTCCACATGTGCTCGTAATCATATTGACGAGCCCGACATTCAGAAATTCCAATATAACAATCGAATTCAATGGAGAGCAGCACATGCGTATGACCATAATCGGGATGGTGAGAAGATTATTAGGCTTGGTTAGTACCAAGAGCCAGCAGATTCGGGCAGATTCGGGAAGCCGTTGGAACAAGAAGGGAAGAAAAGGAAAAGGAAAAGCGAAGGTGAGGGCGAGGATAGCCCAGGAAACTCTGCAAGTATGGGTGGGAAAATTATTATTTTTTTTTTTTTCGTGTAGAATTATATTGGATATGTTCGCTTTATTTCTGTTTTTCGCGTAAAGAATTAGTCTCTGGTCGCAAAATTTAAAGAGTTATTTTAGAGGAAAAATGCTTTTTTTTTTATAGATTGAAGTTGCGTTTGTTGTTTAATTGGATTATAATTGGTTTAATCAGTATGTTTTTTTTGAATGTTGGCATATTTGTTTATGCATGTTGGCATATTTGTTGAATGTAAATGAGGTATAATACTGTAATAATTTAGAGTACTAATAATCCATCAACCTAAATGTATCAAACATAGAATTTTTAGTTGCCCCTTTCTTCAACCAAGAAAAAAGAGGAAAATAATATAAAAAAATTAAAAATTAAAAGAGTAAAGATAAATAATATAGAAAACATAGATCAAATTAAGAAAAAAAATAAAAAAATTGGTGACTCTTCCCTACCAATAGTTGTAGATTGATTTATTTTATTATTGGTTGCAGTGTGAGTTAAGGAATGGAGTTGCAAAGTATGGAGGCAAAGAAATGCCTCAATTGATATGTTTGTTATTTCTGTTTGTTATTTTGTTACATCTTAGATTTAATTTTTACATGTAACCTAATTTTTCCATTTATATGCTAATATGTACGTTTATGGGGTGAATGTGGTTTTTAAGGAGTGTGTTCTCTTAGTTTTATACAATTCGAGGGGTTTTATACAATTGAAAAAAGAGTGCAAATGGAGCTAGCAACCATGACAACAAATACAAAAAGATTAATCGTATAACAACAAATTAGCTAATCATTAATCGGGAGAAAGAAAGAAAAAAGTGTTCATAATTTTCTTATTAACCAGATAAATACGAAGAAAATATTCACCTGTATTGGACTAGCCGCCATGAGTAAACCTGCTACACCACCACCAATCACACGGCCATCTGGGCTAGCTAACGTCACACTTAATCCGCCACTACGGCTTCTCATTCCACCATTATCAGAAATCGTGTAAGAACCCGTTAATGTTAAAATCTCGAAACGGCCCTGCATTTTTAACAGCCAGTGTTTCAATATTATTAGCACATTAGCTTTTTTCTTGAAATAGAAAATGAAAAACGATGTGTAATTTGTGTATGTCTTACCAGCAAAATATTGGGTTAATTATTACAAAAACCACAAAGTCTAACTAAATAAAAACATTCGACACGAATTTTAACATAATCTTTTTTGCAACAAAAAAACTTGTACATGAATATCCATGGCATAACAAGCAAAAAATGCAGCTCAAATAAAAAGGACAAGATCCCAACAACAGAGCGAAGTCAAATTCATAGTCTAAATCACAAAATTATTCAAGAACTAATGATTTGAGTCATTGACATTTTTCACTGAAAAAAAAAA